AGACTTGTTGAGGGGAGAGCACAGTTGTTTATCCTTATTAGTTTGCTAATTAACTAAGTTTTATTGAGCTTAAAGCACAGTGGTCTAGTTCTTATTAGCCTTGAGACCAAATATATATATATATATAGTCTTCTAAAGTGGAGACCACAATAGTTTAATTCTCATTAGACTCCTGACTAAATGTAAAGTATTGTAGAGTGGACAGGACAGTGAGTTAGTTCTTATTAGCCTTGAGACCAAATATATATATAGTCTTCTAAAGTGGAGACCACAATAGTTTAATTCTCATTAGACTCCTGACTAAATGTAAAGTGTTGTAGAGTGGACAGGACAGTGAGTTAGTTCTTATTAGTCTTCTGACTGAATATAAGTCTTGTAAAGTGAAGAGTGCAGTGTGTTATGTCTTATTAGTCTTCTGGCTGAATATAAGTCTTGTAAAGTGAAGAGTGCAGTGCGTTATGTCTTATTAGTCTTCTGGCTGAATATAAGTCTTGTAAAGTGAAGAGTGCAGTGTGTTATGTCTTATTAGTCTTCTGGCTGAATACAAGTCTTGTAAAGTGAAGAGTGCAGTGCGTTATGTCTTATTAGTCTTCTGGTTGAATATAAGTCTTGTAAAGTGAAGAGTGCAGTGTGTTATGTCTTATTAGTCTTCTGGCTGAATATAAGTCTTGTAAAGTGAAGAGTGCAGTGCATTATGTCTTATTAGTCTCCTGACAAAAGTTCAGGAGTGGAGTTGTATTATTAATCTTCCAACAGATTGTAGAGAGGAGAGCACAATAGTTTAATTCTTGTTAGTCTCCTGACTAAATGTAAAGTGTTGTTGAGTGGACAGGACAGTGAATTGCTTCACATGATTTGTCACAGGCAGTAGAAAACCCTGTGTTGAATTTATGTTGTTAATCTGCTGTTTAGTTATGTCTGAGGCCCGGCACGGCCAGGTGGTTAGGATGCTCGACTTGCAATCTGCGGGTCACGGGTTCGAATCTTCATCGCACCAAACATACCCACTATTCGTTGATAAAAGAGTAACACAAGAAGGCAGTAAGTCTTACACTGCTAAATTAGGGACGGCTAGTGCAAATAGCCCTCTTGTAGCTTTGCACAAAATTCAAAACAAAACACGTTACGCCTGTGGCTATATTTACAGTTTTGTCTGTTATTGTTTTTGTAAATGATGGCATATCTCGAAATTGCTGTTTTTATAAAACATTCTTTCACATATTCCCTATCTGTGAATGGCTTTTCTCGTTTCATGATTTCATGAGATGCCACAAAGCTAGTAGCAGTAGTGTTGCTAGATAATTCCTTTTCCATTTAGCAAAAGTACACTATTTTTGGTCTGTTCTATGCTGTAGCTCCTCAACTGCTATTTTCATTCAGCCCCAGGTGGATACTTTTCAGCAAACTTGTCATGTTTTTGTTTTAAATGTCTTTCTGTATTTGATTTCTTGTTGTTGGCAAGTTTCTCATTGCAAGATAGGCATAGTAGGAGTCCAGTTTAACTTGATATAAAAGTATAGGACTCGGTCCATTCATTTAAAAATTTGCAATGTTCATCTTCAATCTTTATCTTTTTTGATGCCATTTTCACCCTTGAATATTTTTATTTTATTTTGAATGTCTCTAACTCTGATTTTACACTTTTTTTTTTTCTAACACTTAACCACCAGCCTAACATTATGTTACACTTCCAATTGGCTAATGAGGCCTCTGCACATCTTACATTTCACATTTATATTCTAATTGGTTGTTGATTGTGGTGTTGGTAATAATGGCTTTGGAATTTGAATGTAAAATGGAAGTGGATGTCAAGTGCAACTGTATCCTGTTTCTTTTATTTAAAAACTAAAAACATTCAACGAACTAAAGCAAATTTGATATTATCATTCCGTCTGTGTGCCTGATTAAGCCTTTTAATTTCTTTTATTCTGACAATTGAGAATCTACACTTTATTTTTTAGGGGAGTATTTATAAAAAGCCATGTGTAGTTATGCAAAGAACTGCATGTGGCTCGTGAACCATGGGCTGCTGACCCCTGCGTTAGTGCTTTTGTTCTTACTAATATTCTGACTAACTGTAATTCTTATTTAGTTGAGAGCACAGTACATTAGCTCTTATCAATCTACTGACTAAGTTTTAAGTCTAGTAGAATTGAGAGCTCGGTGTTTTATGCCTTATTGGTCTCCTGACTAAATGTAAAGTATTTTGCATGTAGAGTACAGTTAGTTTAGTTTGTATTAGTCTACTGACTAAGTGTAGAGCTTTGTAGAGTGGTGAGCACAATGGTTTAGTTCGTATTAGTCTACTGACTAAGTGTAGAGCTTTGTAGAGTGGTGAGTACAATGGTTTAGTTCGTATTAGTCTACTGACTAAGTGTAGAGCTTTGTAAAGTGATGAGCACAATGGTTTAGTTCGTATTAGTCTACTGACTAAGTGCTCTACAAAGCTCTACACTTAGTCAGTAGACTAATACAAACTAAACCATTGTGCTCACCACTCTACAAAGCTCTACACTTAGTCAAGAGACTAATACGAACTAAACCATTGTGCTCACCACTCTACAAAGCTCTACACTTAGTCAGTAGACTAATACGAACTAAACCATTGTGCTCACCATAGAGCTTTGTAGAGTGG